GCCATCTATGTTTAACTTAAGTAATCCTTTACGTATACTAGGCATCTATGTTTAACTTAAGTAATCCTTTATGTATACTAGGCACCTATGTCTAGTCAGAAACAAAGCTAATTGCTCTGTTTACACATCCTTCTTTCAAGTTCCTTAAGGCAAATTCCAAGAAAGGAGAAATACATCTCTTGGGATCTCTTGAAAGAGCCACGCCCACTTTATACACATAGACTTTCGATTTCAAAGACAATTCTACTTATTTGAACTAGATGTTTAGAACCATAGAAATAGCCCATTTTGAACTACAATCTCCCAATGGTTATTTTAAAATTGGTATCCAATATTCTTTACAAAGTATGTCAAACTGCTCTTAACACTGTTGCTGCTTTTGTCCTCACTAGCACTTAGAGTTGTTTCTCACCTGGAAATATGTTAGTTAGATAAACAGTTAAATTGTATTTAGGTTTTAGTTTTATACTTTAGTTAATTATGTTTTAAAATGCATCTTTGAAAGGTTTAACATTTCTTTTAAATATAACCAAACTTTTTCTTGTTTCATGAGGCTTAGTGTAGTATGTGAGTGAAACATTTTACCAAAAGCTAAAGTATTTCTGCCGACAATACCATAATATAGCCAAAGACACCCCTTGATGTGTGTTGTGATAAATAATAATGAGAGAGGACAGGAAAGGAAAATAAAACCTTAAAAATAAACTATATGTCAAAATGTAAAGACTTGCAATAAAGAATATAAGCAAAAGAATATTTCATAAGGTTATTTGATGAAAATTTTAAAAGTATATAAATTTTATCTGTTTCTTAATTTTAAAAATTTCATTGCACTATACATTGATGATAATATTCAAAATATTCAGTCTTAGTGCAGATAACTACAATACAAAAATAACAAATCTGTAGCTAAAATACTTAATTAAAATAATAAAATTCTTTGTGTAGAAAATCCTTGTTATCTTGATCAAAATCTAACTAATTTTCATGAACATATGTTAAGAAATTCCTGAGTTATCATATGTACTGTTGAACTTGTATCATTCTTCATACTGGCTAGGCCTAATCGATCTAAACCATAACCATACTGTCAAATAGACATGACTATTAGACCTATAAAAGATAATTTTTAAAGAAATATGTCTGTGTTGAGATTTCAATTGTCAAATCTATGCATAATTTCAGTAATACGAAAAAGTAACAAGATCTTCCTAAAATGTAAATAGTTTATACTGTACAAGTTTCTTTCCAGCTAAGTAGTAAATTTACAGTACAAGATAACTGCAGCTATTCCAAGTGTCTGTTACTTCTTTGCTGACACACCTCAGTAGATACTCCAAGTCTCAGATACCCCTTCTTGACAGATCTCAGCATATACTCCAAGTCTCAGATACCTCTTTGTTGAAACATCTCAGCAAATAATCCATGTTATCAATATCATTTTGTTGACACACCTCAGCAGATACTGTAAGCCTCGTATATCCCTTTGTTGAAACACCTCAGCAGATACTGTGAGCCTCATATATCCCTTTGTTGACACAACTCAGCAGATACTGTAAGCCTCATATATCCCTTTGTTGACACAACTCAGCAGATACTGTAAGCCTCATATATCCCTTTGTTGAAACACCTCAGCAGATACTGTAAGCCTCATATATCCCTTTGTTGACACAACTCAGCAGATACTGTAAGCCTCATATATCCCTTTGTTGAAACACCTCAGCAGATACTGTAAGCCTCATATATCCCTTTGTTGACACAACTCAGCAAATGCTCTAAATCTCCAATTTCACTTTGTTGACACAACTCAGCAGATACTCTTAAGTCTCAGATACCCCTTTGTTGACACATCAGCAGATACCCCCATTGTGGCACATCTCAGCAGATAGTCCAAGTTTTAAATACCCCTTGTTGACAGGTCTCAGGAGAAATGTGTTCAACTCCTGAAAAGTTAAATAAAACAGATACTGTATTTGTGATAAAATTATTTAGACTGTAGATATTAAACTTGTTGAATTCAACTCTTAGGCAGTTTTCAGTGTTAAAACATAACTTTAACACAAACTGTTATATTTGATTTTAATTTCGATGATGAGGAACCCACTTTGAGACTAATAATGCTTGGAGATGGCTTGAATGGGTAATGAAGTTTTTCTTCATTACCCATTCAAGCCATCCCCAAGCATATTATTAAACTCTTAAATATTTGAAATTCATCAACATGATTCTTGAAAGGAAGGAAAGATTAAACCCAATAAAATTTACAAAATTATGCATGGGTGAAGTATATACTGGTCTATCCAATTGTCAGGATGTAAAACATTTGTTTATGGTGAGCTTCATAGATGACACTTTTCTTCTACTATCAGTATCTTTCAGTTTTCAAATTCATTCACATTAGGAATGATAATAAATATGTAAATGCAACAGTCAGTTTTCTGTGCATCATTTAAATGTCTAATTGTTCTTCTCCCAGAAAGCTGAAGTAATACAGTTGTGTTTAAAAAGTTGATTTATTTTTTTTATTTGCCTTAATTTTTTTCTGCTTCCCTCAATAAACCAGTAATTAGTTTTTAGTTTAATTGATTCTCTGTCTGATCTTTATTAACTATTTAAGGAAACCATGTTTTTTTCAGCATTTACTATCTTTCACATAATTTATTTTTGTTCTATTTTATTCATTGTAAAGTGTGAATTGCTACACTATTATTAGTTACTTTCCTTTCTAATGAGGAATCCTATGCTATTGTAACCACTGTGCTTAAGCCATAGAATATAGAAAGAACTAACAAAAATGTGTGTACAATTATTCTGTTAACCTCAGTTAAATTTACCTATAGACCTAAATAACAACCCTTTTAACTTCATCTGAGTAGTGTTTAAGATTGAGTGGAGATTACAATGCATTCTTAATAAACAATTTGCAGCAATAAATCAAAGAAAAAGGTGTACTCTTCCATCAGGACAATGCCCCAGCTCACAAATCATGTGTTGCCTTGAATGTTACACTTGATGATGGCTTTGAATTACTCATTTGCCCCCCTCCTTACTCACTGGATTTCGCTCCAAGTGACTTTTTTTTTTCTTCCCTAACCTTAAAATTCTAATGAAATGTAGAAGATTTCAGAGTGTTGATAATCTCGTACTTACCGTCACGTCATAGATTGAGGACAAAGAAGAAGAAGATTTCTTTCAGAAAGGTATCATAAAAGCCTTAGATCACCACTGGTACAAATGTATAAACTCAGGAGAAGATTATATTTAAAAAAAAATCATAGTTGAACCATTGTCTCTTTTCTTTATAGGTCAGGTCATGAACTTTTTTGGACAACCCTCATATTTTGTTTTCATTATAGATGAATGGTGTATGTGTTCCAATATCATTAAAATTCATGTACAATTGTTTTTCAATTCATGAAACTTAAAGTTTTTATTACTCTTTTGTTTCAGATTTGCCAGAGTTGTAAGGGTTCATCTGAAAAGAAAAACATGTGTATTTCCTTAGATTGTCCTGTTCTCTTTAGGGCAACACTGTGCCAACGTGACTTAGGACAGGCACCCTATCTGCAACAACTTCTGAATTATCTAACTTTCTAGTTTCAGATACAAATTTAAATTTAATATAATTTGTTTATGTTGTTTTGTGAATTTCACATTTTTTGTCCTGTATGAACTTTTTAAAGGTATCTTACATGAATATATGTGTGGCATTGTTTGTATAGCCCGTGTAAAAATAGCAAGTTTTTAATATAATATGTTAGTAAATATTAAGATTAAATTTCATATTTAAGAAAATTAATTCAAAAATCTTTTTATAATTTCATAACTAAAAATACACATGTTTGTGCTAAATAGAAGAAAACTTTTCATCTCTTACCGAGTTTAAATAGAAACTTTTTCATGTGTAAAATTTGAATAAGTTGGGTATGGTTACAACAAGGTGTAAATTAACGTTGTCGGTACTGTGTGATAATACAAGTAAAAATTGTGTATTGTCTCATAGCTGTGTTAGTCATTAATTTCTGATGACAATACAAGTTTGTTTCAAGATTGGTCCTACAAAATATTGATGCTTATATTTCTTTCTTTGTTAATTTATGCATGGATATTATGATATTCATTATTAATGCATTAAGTAAAAGATACACTATTAAATCAAAAACAATGATTGTTGAAACATCAAATATTCTAAAATTTTAAAATATCATGTCACTTGTTAATGTTGAGTATGAGTATAGTCAACTTCAAAATATAACAGAAAAAGACATATTTATTTACAAAATAATACTTCAGTTAAATAATAGTTTCATAAAGTAAAAGGTAAAATAAAACTGAAACAATAAATATGTAAATATATTATTAACTTGTAAGGACCATTGTTTTCGTAGTAATGCAGCATGTTATTTGTAAAATAATAAATTCATTAGTACTCTGTTTTAGTTATAATCATCTTTGATATTTATATGGGTGCTTAATAAACACTATATGATTGATATGTTTTCATAATTTTAATGTTACTTAATATCATTTGTGCTTTTTTTTAAACATTTTTATTTGTTAAAAATAACAGTACTGTTGCATAAGTGTCAGTGTAGCATTTCCTTAAATCAGCATTTACCAAGCAGATTAGATATACAACAATAAAATGTCACAAAATGGGTAATATGAGTAAACTAAAAGTTGTGGACAAGTTTATAAAGCCAGACTTTTGAGTTGCAGATGGCATTCTTAGTGCATCTGAAGAAAACAACAGTCACCACCAATATGTGTGTGGCTCTTAGTTTTAACTTCAGTGTTTTTAACCCTAGTTTTAAGATCAGTATATCCACAATTTTAAATTAGATATGATATACAAGAGCAAAATCCAAATTCAAAATTAATTTAACCTTCTTGTGGTGAAAAACGTGCATACGTTATTCAATACTGCACTTTGGTTGGATGTTCCCATTTTTAATTACTTCCAAAAGTACAGATCACTTTCAGTGTTTGCATGTAGTAACATTAGAACAAAGGCTCTTATCTTTTGCTCAGTCCTTCTTTTATTTCAAGTAATGTTTATATGTCCATAAAAAACATTACACTTATACCTATAAAAAATATCTTCTTTTGATATTTAAGAACATGATTTTTTGGTAATCATGTATGTCTGAAGTATTGATACAGTTATATAAGACTGTTATACCACAGCAGTGTAGTTAACAAAACAATGGTATAGTTGTTAGTAATTATGTATGTCCCTGGTATTGATACGATCATGTGAAACCATTATATCACAGCAGTATAGTTAACAAAACAATGGTATAGTTGTTAGTAATTATGTATGTCCCTGGTATTGATACAATCATGTGAAACCATTATACAACAGCAGTATAGTTAACAAAACAATGATATAGTTGTTAGTAATTATGTATGTCCCTGGTATTGATACAATCATGTGAAACCATTATACCACAGCAGTGTAGTTAACAAAACAATGATATAGTTGTTAGTAATTATGTATGTCCCTGGTATTGATACAATCATGCAAGATTGTTATCCAACAGTAGTGTAGTTAACAAAACAGATACAGTTGTTACTATATGTATTTTTTATTCCTAGCCTTCATTTATTATGTATTTACTGTGTTAGAAATTTTTAACCCAAATCTAGCTCATTTCAGTGAAGACACATTACAAGATAAAGTCAAAAGTTATATTATGTGCTGGAGATACACCTACATATGTTAATGTAACAAAGAGAATGACAGTAATACATATGATTTTGCATTGCACAAGTAACCAGTGAATGGTAGTTACATATTTTATATGATAAATTTAGTGAGTTTTCTTTGCCTTTGATGTATGCAAGTACAAAATATCTTACTCTGGTATCATATTTATAAAATTTTATTTTTTGCACATTTTGTGCTTAATCTGAGGTCATATGCCAAGTTAGAATTAATGTTATTTTTTATAGCAGAGTTCAGACACAGTAGTGACCTACTGTCTCATGGGATACTTGTATTGTTTTATACTTTACCATGTGTCTGTGGAAATGTGCTGTGGCTGTGACATGGAGAAAAGATGCTTCCAGATGTATGTGATCAAATTTTAAAATTGGTCACCTGTAGAGAGAGTATGGTATGTGAGAGTATGTTTAACAAAATTATTTTCTAACTTGCACAAGCTAGAAGTCACTAGTGACAGCTTATCTGTATTTCAGTGTTTAACTTAATACCTGCTGATCTTGTCTGTCTGCATCTGTTTGTGTTTTCATATTAATTTAGCTAAGATCATTTTCACATTTATGTATCTTAATACAGCTTTTATTTATTTATTTATTTTACTCATAATGTTTAACACTAAAATGCAGTGGTTCTTACCAGTACTATGATCAACTATGTTTTGTAGTAAATAAAGTGTTTTTAATAATATTATTACACAGAGTCTTATCTATTTTCTTTTCACCTACAACAACTCACTGTACTTGTCTGTATTATTAATTCATAATACTTATAGCATTTTTTTGATGGAAACAACCTCTTTCATGCATGGGCTCTATAATCATGTTACACAGCACCAATGCACTAGGCATTTTCTGCAGAACACCACTTGTGTACATAGGGGTAGCATAACTTCCCATATACAATTGTGTAATCTACTCTTCCTGGGGTTGATTTGTCAACATTGCCTAACTACCACAGAACATTAGTTCATTGGTTGTGTAGGCAGAACTGACAGGTAAGCTCTGCAATACATACATTCCAAGGATACTGATACCAGAAAAAGGTTAGTGACAACTTCTTTCTTTCGGTAAGTGAAACGTCCTAAATGTAGTTGGAGCCAGAACAAAGTTTATGTTAACTGGCTCTAGTAGTGCTTTAACTCGAAATGCCTGATATAATGTGAGATCTACCAGTGATCTGGCCACTCCTGTATGAACCTGGAACTCTATTTCTTGCCCCCGTACTTTCACTCGAAAGTGACTCAATTTTCCACATTCAAAGCAGACACTTCAGTCCTCCATTTCAAGGTAATTGTCTGGTAGAAGCATCAGTAGCATAGGTTGCATCATATAAACCATGGAAGGGCTAGGGTAACCCTACTTATTCACTTGATACTAGTGTGGTTGTATCACAACACCTGGATGTGTGGGTGATTGGTTGACCCACAGTTGGATTCAAACCTGGTGCCTGGGTAGAATGGTCTGTCTAAGGTGAAGCCACTTCAGCTACTGATACAGGCTTCCTCCTCTCTTTCAACTGTTTTGAAGTTGTCACTTCATAATGCATCATGACAGAAACTATGGTGATATTTCTCACACCCGGGAAATGCTGCTCTGTCTCGCTGGGTAGCCTTTTCAAAACTTATCAACAAAGATATCCTTGCATTCTGCTGAAGCTATTGTAAGATAAGCCTTACCCTGTAAACAGTGCAGATTGCAGCATAAATGGTCAAGATTTCCATGGTATTCCTCTTCTAAGCCATGAATTTGCTCCAATGGTTTGCTGTGTCTTCTTATAGGCCGAATCTCTGGTGAAATCATGTAATATATGGCCCTCAGTGGCTCAGCAGTAAGTCTGATGGCTTGTAGCACTAAAAGATTGATTTTAATACCCATGGTGGGCACAGTACAGATAGACCTTTATGTAGCTTTGCACTTAACAATAAACAAACAGTAATGATTGTCTCACTGCCCTACAGTTGCTCTTCATTCAAGTACTCAGTGGAATCAAGAGCCAGACCATCTAAACTCAAAACAAAGTGTTGTACATTCTGTTCCAGAATTCAGCCATTCCAGGCAGTTACCTATCTGAAATGTTTCAGAAAATGGCCCAAATCCTCCTTCACTGTATATTTGAATGTTAGTGAAGTGATTTGTTTCACCTTGTTTATGGAGAACTGTGATCATGGACAAAACTCTTCATCACTACTTCTCATCCATTACCTCACCAAGATGTCCTCGATATTGTGGCCACAGTGTGGGAGGGTCTCTCAGGGACTTCCTATACTCTGACGAGAATGATGTCAGAATTATGAAGTGCTATCAGCAGTTCATCCATCGGTTCTGTTCAACCCTAAAATACTCCGTTATCTCTACAGTATACCTCCCGACTGGGGGTGGCTCATCACTGCTCTATAATTTAATCACTTTGCCATTTAATGCCCGCTGCCTCACCTGCTGGTGAAATAACTGTGATTGACAGACATTGTGCACCAATGATACCTCCAGTCTCTCTCGCACTAAAGTCAATCCTCAGGGGGAGAACTTGATCATCTATTCTGGATGGCCCACATTCTGGCAGTTCTCCTTGCTGAGTCTGTTGCAGTAACGAAAAAGAAGTCATGGACTTTCAAAGCATCAGCAAAAATCTAACGTCCAGGAGATGACTTCTAGATCCGACAATTGTCTTCTTTCACTGACAGATTCTTGCCATTGGTTTTAAGTCATTCTAGTTGTGGAAAATCAGGTAAAGATATGTTGACAATGTTTTTAGTATATGGGAAAGGTGGTTTTCTTATTTTTTGTAATTTTTATTAACAAGAGAGTGAATGTCATAATTTTCGCGTATTGTTAGAGTTTGGTAGTTATCTCTCCTTTTTATAGGTTTTAAATTAAAAAAGAGAAACAATAATTTGGCTACCACTGTATACATAAAAGCTTATGCCGCACATAAGATATCTAATCATTATTTATTGCAAAAAATATCCTCCTACTTTACCTAGTTAAACCGTGTTACACAATTTGTTGCCCACCAATTGAACTGAAATACTTAAAGAATATAGCACTATCTAAACGTTTTGACCCCAACATCCTAGACAGAACTTTTATGTGTAACAAAAACATAAAAATCTGTTTCATTTCTTTTATGCGAGAAATTTCCAATGTAATTATCAGTATATTTAAACACTGATGTAACATCACTTTTTCAGAAAAAATGAAATTTTTCAGTCATATTCACATGAATTGATATATTTATAATTTAATTAATATCTAGTAGATCTTCCTTTTTGCTTCGTGGAGTTTGTTGATCCTTTGGGGCATCGTGAAGATCATCTCGTCAGTTTCAGATTGTGGGATTTTCGCCCACTCTTGCTTCAAAACTTGAAGTAGATCGCTCTTCGAAGTTGGGTTTTTTTGTTGTTATTTCTTGACTTGCGGGTTGAGTATGGCCCAGAGGTTTTTGATGGGGTTCATGCCAGGAGATTGGCTCGGCCAGGGCAACTCCTGGATACCATTTTCTTCCTGCCACTTTTGGGTGTTTCTAGCAGTGTGACACGGTGCTCCATCTTCCTGGAACAACGTTGTTTTCTTGCCCACGAAACCCAAGGAATAAAGTGGCAAGAGTCCTTCCTCCAATATTTCGACGTATTTCACAAAATTTAAGTTGCCAACACTAAGCTCGATCTCCCACCAACCCAAACAGCTCCCCAAACCATCACGCTGAAACCACCATGCTTCACAGTTGGCTGCAATCTGTTGAGCTAAAACTGTTGGTGAAGCATTCTCTAGACCCATATCCTTCCACTATCCGCAAATTGAACAAATATTGATTCGTCTGAGAACAATAGGGTCTTCCAAAAGTCCAGAGGCTTGGTCATCATATCACTTGCCCACTTCTTTCGTCTGACTATGTTGGTAGGTAACAATAACTGCTTCCGTCTAGCTGCTCTGCAACGATAATCCAATCTGTGGAGAATCCGTTGAACAGATTTCGGGCTCATCCCACCAACTTTGGCCACTTCTGCAGTCGTTAATCTGGGATCCATTTCGATGCTCCTCTTGACAGCCCTTTTTGTCCTCTCCGATGGACCAGGATAACCTGGACGCTGCTCAGTTGTTTCCTGAACTGCACGATGATTTTGTTGACTGTCGAAAGCGGGATTCCCAAATTCTGCGAAATTTGCCGCTGACTTATTCCACCATCTGCTTGACCAACTATCCTTTCTCTAACAATTCGAGAGAACCTTGAGTTCTAGGCATGTTGTAGCACAAGATAATTGGTGTGTGGACCATTTTCGTTTATATAGTGCTCTGTGAACACAAATTAGTTAGCATAAATCAGTTAAATGACGTAAAATTAGGTGTCTATTTACTTGTGACCACTCAGTGTATATCTGGCTTTTGCAAGAGCCTTCTGAGTACAGGCTAGATCCGTTTGGAAATGATGAACTTCATTCTGAAGTTGTGTTAGCGAATTTCTATACTTTTACAGATTGTGATTCATTGTGATTATAAATCACCTAGGTCTCCATCCACCTGGTTCTCTGTTTCTAATAGTGACTCTTCAAAATAACTATCTGATTCAGTGTGAGGTTTTCCTTTATCTTGGTTGGGGCTCTGTGGGGAGCTCCACCTTCTTTACTTTTATCTGCAGAGGACTGCCACCAATGATGATGAAGTTGATTCTTTAATGGTAGTGGTTGGTGTCATCACCACTGATGGCTACTACTTGAATTATTGACCCCGGGATAGATTATCATAATAATGGAGCTGGAACTTAAGAGTGACCTGCTCACCTCTTTGAACATGAATCTTGAAATTCTGGAAAGGTCTTGCCAGGACAAATGATAAGGTGATCTAACCGAAAGTGTGCATGCATACTGTGGCGGTTGATTCTACTGGAAAAGCATCCTCCAACAGGGCACGTTTTGTGCTTCTCCCAGTCAACCTTATTGTCTTTAGATATAGACTTGGACTTCTTCTTAAGCATTTTGATATTGGTCTGCACCTTAACTCCTAGGAAGGCTAAGTCCAACATAGAGATCATAATCGGGATGAATTGCACTGCAAAGTGTGAGTTTGATACAACCCACACTTTCTGGCTTCACGGTTGTTGTTCCCAGTATTGAGTTGGATGTCGATTAAGGAAGCTCCAGAGTCTGGAGAGCTAATTCTACCATCACCTCCTCCATTGCCCACATTTTGGATGCATTACTAAGCAAACCATCTTCATCCAGTGGCATTGATGACATAAACATAAGGCCAAAGGATGGAAGGCAGTGCCAGTTAATCTCCATACTATCATTAAAGTAAAAATAAATGGCCCATGAATAGTTACACACTTGTTTCTTCAGTGATTTGGAGTAAATAAGCAAAAACAAGTAACACTACGACTGGTAGGTTGAAAAAATATAGATTGCCAAAAAGCTTAAGAATTTGATCTTAAATAGGGAAAGTCGGGATTCGAAATACGTGGTTAAAGTTGTGATAGCCAAATTAACATAATACTACACCCTGAAAAATCCCAGGAGGAACAAAGTGTTTAAAATAAACTTTTGACCAAGCTCCATGTTATCAGGTTTATGAGGTATCATGCTTAACCTGCCTGTAGAATATGATTCCTACTACCTTCTTACAGCTCAGCCATTGCAAGCATCCTTGGGTCTCAAGTTGACTTAAACTAGTTATTTTACCCAAGGTCATTACTACTTAG